TAATTTTCACGTTACACCTGATCCTGTCCTCTGATTGGCCAGAATCGTGAAACCTGGGGTAAAATTAGTAAATGCAGAAATCATAAAGTCATTAGTCAACTAGTCGACTATTAGTCAACTAATCGACTAATAGGATAATTGAATAATTGACTAGTTATTATAATTAATTAAAAGTCAATATGCAATTTTAATTGTTTATATAACATCTAACTAACTGATTAGCCGATTTTTAGTCTCCAATCATGAATTTGATGTTACACACGATCTTGGGATTTTATTGGCTATTGCTAGCAATGATCGACGCGACGTGCCAATATTTATTTTTTGTGGGAAAGCTAGGGGCATTCACATTTTTCACATTTTTTCATTACTTATTTTACAAGTCGGGTTTCATAATACTATATACTGTATATAGAATATAAATTTAAAAAACCTTAGCATTCTAGTAACAATATTAATGCACAAATGTCTGACTCTAAAGAGACCGTTCCAACAAGGGAATTGGGTTTTACTAAATACCATGAAGATGTAACAGAAGAAAAATTTACCACCAGTTTAAATTACACTGAAAGGAAACAATTGTTAAGTTTTATCAGTGACTCTTCACCTTTGGATAATGATTCCGATTATAGATGGGTGACTAAATTATTTTCACAATGACGAAATTGACGAAATTATAAGTGACGAACTTTTTTTCATAATAACGAAATTGACGAAATACTTATTTCGTCACCCATCACTAGTTCCGATCCACCACTTCGACTAGACAACCCACCACTTCGACTACCGCTTCGACTAGACAATCCACCATGTCAACCAGACCATCCGCTATTTCGACCAACACTTCGAACCAACTATCCACCACTTCGACCACAACTTCACTACGATCATCAACCATCCGATAGGAACTATTTGGACAAACATCAAGTAATTAGGCATATTGAGAAAATGTTAATAATGTTTAATCATTCAGCTTATTCGTTCTCTGATATAGAAAAGCGTAGTTACGATGATTCGGTAGATGAGGACCACCAAAATGCTGCAGAAATAAAAAGACATGGTTATCAAAATGCTGCAGAAATAAAAAGACATAAGGATTATCAAAATGCTGCATATAGGGATAAGAATTGGCTATATGATTTAGTTGACTAAATCAACTAAACATAATAATTTACATATAAATTTTTTAGCCGACTAAATCGATTCCTATCCCTAGCTGCAGAAATAAAAAGACAAAAAAAAGAACGATTTGATCAAGACAAAATTGGATAGAAACGCACATGAAAAAACATATAGCTGATTCAAACCTTTGTTCTTGGGAAAAATAATTGGAAAGTAATGACGACGATGCGGTATAATTAAAATTATTTCATTGATGATTCTAAAAATTTCAATAATTTCTAATATGCATTTTTTGTAATTTCAAGGATTTTTTGTATCTTATTAAATTAGCAGATGATCTCTTTTCAAGAAAGCTTGTTGTAATACAAAATATAATATAAATCAATAAATTTATCCTAAATTTGTTGATTTATAACCGATCGTCAAATTTATTAATTTTTATGAATTATAAATAATAAAACAATGCACTAAAGGTTCGGAGACATCTCAAAACCCAATAATAAATTGGATAGAAACGCACATGAAAAACATCTAGCTGCTTCAAACCTTTGTTCTTGGGAAAAATAATTGGAAAGTAATGACGACGATGCGGTATAGTTAAAATTATTTCATTGATGATTCTAAAAATTTCAATAATTTCTAATATGCATTTTTGTAATTTCAAGGATTTTTTTTTTATCTTATTAAATTAGCAGATGATCTCTTTTCAAGTAAGCTTGTCGTAATACAAGATATAATATAAATCAATAAATTTATCCTAAATTTATTGATTTATAACCGATCGTCAAGTTTATTAATTTTTATGAATTATAAATAATAAAACAATGCACTAAAGGTTCGGAGACATCTCAAAACCTAATAATATTAGTTCCCCAATCTTCCTCTTCTTCAATTGTTACCATGTACAACATCAAACAATTATTACAAGACGCAAGGTATGAATAAGCATGTTAAATAAGAACCAAAATTGGATAATGTTTACATTTACATTAAATATGGTACTAATTCACAATGACTATTATAGATTCGAAGGGCAAGTCAATCTTCGTTATAATCAAAAAAAGGAACGCCCATTAACATTTTTGCGAAACGGAAAGACTAAGTTCACGGATATGCTTAGGTGTCTAAAATATGGATGATTTACGGCAGATGGCATGGCGAAATTTTTTTAGTATTCAAGATGCAAGGCATGAATTATATAAGAAACAAAATGGGATAATGTTTATATTTACATTAAATATGGTGCTAATTCATAGTGACTATTATAGATTCGAAGAGCAAGTCAATCTTCGTTATAATCAAAAAAAGGAACGCTCCATTAACATTTTGCGCAACGGAAAGACTGAGTGCATGGGTGTCTAAAATAGGGATGATTTACGGCAGACGGCATGGAGAATATTCAAGATGCAAGGCATGAATTATATAAGAAACAAAATGGGATAATGTTTACATTTACATTAAATATGGTACTAATTCATAATGACTATTATCCCTTAATCCGTATGTAAATTCGGGGCAAATTTGCCCCGAATTTTATAAGATCATTTTTACATCATTTAAT